CAGGCAAAACTTTATCATGAAAAGCTAAAGGCTTTACCTCTTACAGATATATTGCCGTGTCCTGCCTAAGGACCACGGCGTCTCTTTGTCATCACTAAATCTACACACAGTCACCAAAAAGACACCTGTGGTCTGTGCAAGCCGCATCCCTCCCCAACTGGAGGCTGTAGGGGTGAGTACGGTTGAAGCAAGTCAGCCGAGAGAGGGGACTGCCCAGGCAGTGGGCAGTGGCACTCTGGGGCTGTGCCCCACTGGGAGGGCATAGCCCAGCCTGGCTTGCTGCTGCTGGCCACAGGCCCCCTTGGGGAGCAGCCCTGCTGCTGACAGCAGCCCCTGTCAGCGTCCCCAACAAGGGGAACTGGAACCCCTCTCTCCAGATCAGTAAGATTCTGCAAGAAGGGTGATGTTACTGAAATGAAGGCTACCTTCGGTCTGCCCAGAGAGGTGGTGGAGTCTGCATCCCTGGCGGTGTTCAAAAAACGGGTAGATGTGGCATTTGGGACATGGTTTAGTGGGCATGGTGGTGTTGGGTTGACGGTTGGACTGATGATCTTAGAGATCCTTTCCAACCTTAATGATTCCTAGCTTTTACGTTCATTAAAAAATAATCCAGCCACCAAGCCAGGAAACATGAAATTAATTATTACTCTTCCCTTAATTGGTTTAGTGGTGGACTTTGTAGTGTAGGTTAATGGTTGGACTGGATGATCTTAAAGGTCTTTCCCAACCTAAACGATTCTATGATTCTACGATCCTATAAGTAAGCATCTCCAAACAGTCAGGACTGGACCTGTCACTATTATTTCCTATCACTCTGAAATCCTATATGGACCAGTTTGTCCATCGCACATTAAATAAATACAAACTCTTCCTGGATTTCTCTTTCAAGTTTTTGGCAATCTTAGGCTTTGAAGAGTAGGCCCGCACAGTCAAAGTTTGAGGAATGCCTGCCTGAAATGCAGGTCCTACAAATCTTTATGCGTGGACTCGGCTACTATTACTAAGTGCATGCAGAAGGGATGTGTGGGCCTGGTACCTGGAACGTTTTTCTTTAAAACTCAGAGCCCTGGCACCTTGAGCAGAAACCATCAGCACAGTCAAGTGCTCAGGATTTCTGAGAAAGTAAAACTACTCAAATTAGCAAAACCAGAGTCCACATGCATCCCAGTGCAGCTGATTTACAGAGACTGCACTGTGCAGCCCCGGCAGCCAGAACTGACTGATGCAACTCGGAACCCGCGTCTTTGCTGAACTGAGCTGCCAAGATCAAGAGGAGAGCACTCGGTCCCGTGCACAAACAGGCCTTCACCTAACGACCACAGTGACAGAACATGCGTGGGTAGCAGACTCGGAGCCTAAAGTATGCTTTAAATAGCACTGGGGGAGCGAAATGTGGTTTGTGGTTTGTTTGGTTTCTGGTTGGGTTTGGGTTTTTTTTTTAATAGAAATATATATTTAGTAGTAATTTTTGTTTTCACTTCTGAGAAGAGAGATCTGAGGCTGCCTTCTGTTCAGGCCAGTATGGTGCCTGAGTGGAAAATTTCACTTCCCAGTTTCAGTAAGATGCAACTTAGGCTGGTTCTTGTAAATAGTTGTAAAAGGACACTTACTGCGGCAGAGCTCTGTAATCAAGAGGTCTCCACAGACAGCCTGTCATCCTGATGAGACACATTTCTTAATTAAGCAAAGATGCTGCATTGTAGCTGCAACAATTCCCAAGTGTCCCAACTTCCCTCATCATAGCAATGAGCCTGGAGTTACAGAGCTCCCAACAAGGGCTTTTAGAGGATTTCAAACGAACTACAGGTCTAAAAGTTCAACGCTCGAGCATGCACAGCATGCAAAGAACACATTTCAAAATGTGTTTGAAGGGCATTAACACTGTTTTGTAGTACTTCAAAGACCTTTGAAAGGAAGAGTGCGGGTAGCATCCCAAGTATTGCTGGGGAGACTGGAGATCCACGCACTTCTGTGAAAAGCTCAACTCTACTTCCAGGCAGATCAATTAAGAAGCAGCCCTTGCAGCTAAGCTTAACTGAGTTCCTGTTTGAGCACCTCAATTACACTGATTTCATGATTAAACTTGTTCCGATTAATGGGAAAACCAGAAATGGTCAAAATATTGGACAAACTGTTTAAGCTAATGAGGGAGGATGCTGGTGTTTGTGAAGCAGCTGGTAGTGACAGCTTGGAGGAGGAAAGGAAAACAGCTGCCTTCAGATAAGCACTAAATTCAGGCACAGGAGCAAAATGGAGGGGAACACGCTGGTGTGCTTCAACACATCGAGTGGCAATGCAGAAATGCTGCATGAATATTGATCACCTTACTCAGCTGATTAGTACCCTTAGGTTATGTCCATACCAGTGTGTAATATAGCCCCAGGGAGTGAACCTGGGTACCCAGTCCCTGATCATCTGCTCTACATCATGTATTAGCGTACTATATTCTATACTATATTCTGGAGTCAAGTTGTTTGCAGTAGTCCACATTCAGTAACTAAGTGTTTGGGAAGGCCCACGGTGCTCCTGAAGGACCACCAGTTGAACAAGGCTGTCCCCTAGGGCACCCTGCAGGAGCTACACGGCTAGGACACAAGGGCACAGGCCCACCAAAACCAACGCATGGTCCTGGCCATGTCTAGCTAGCTGGCAACCTGGCATTTTTGGAAGGAGCTCACCTGGGCTAATACCACTTGGCTTCTGTGCCGTGGCACCTTTCACTGTGCAGATGTAACCATTCTGTTCATTGCATTGCTTTGCTCCTTCCACAGACGAACACGATAGGGCTGATATTTCAGCTCCAAGGCAAGAGACGTGTTTTCAGCCAGTTTATGGGGAAGAACTGCCATTCAGAATAAGTACATATTTGGGTAACAGTATGTGCGGCGAGGGCACTGCAGAAATGAACTGTAGTTTCCATCGTACTGTGGCAATGGGGGTATGTGTCTTCCTGGTGGGACTGGGGAGATGCAGAAACAATAAAGGCAATGTGTCAGGCTTTTCCAGGTCTAGTCCTCTCTAGAAACATTAAAAAAAAAAAAAAAAGGAAGAAAAGTAACAAACAACTGATGTGTTTCTCGAGAACTAATAGCAATACTGGCCACGTTATTTATTTTCTTTTTGGCCTGTCTGTTCTCCTCTGACATCAAGGCTCTCAGTCTTATGTACCCTACTGCTTGTGAGGCTGTGCTCTAGACTGGACTAATGCAGTTTAAAATGAACTCTCCAAAGTCTGTCATTTAAAAAATGTGGACCATCTTACAGATCTGACTTAGGGCACAGCCCTGTGAACAGTTAATCAGTACAGCTGTATTAATGCAGGCTCTAGGGGGAAAGGTGGGAGTAGAGTGAGACCAAATGACTTAAAGCAGCTCTATGCCAATGGAGCATGAAGCTGTGCCCTCTGTGATAGCAATTGGTGCTAAGGGAGGTATGGATGTATCTGCATTACTCAGCCAGTAATTCCAGTCACATTCCTTCTGTTCACAGCTTGCTTGTTTCCTCGGGACCCTGTGCTCTTCAAGCTGGGCATTCTCTTTGCCCTTAGTGATGTCGCCCATTTGGGAGCTCATCTCCGTGTGAAAGCTCAACCTTAGCATTAGGCCCATATGCAGTGCTGAAAATAAAAATTCTACAGCACAACAGATTTGATCACTTCATTTTCTTGCCTAAAGCACACTGTGATTTCTTCCCCTGTTTGGCTCCGTGGGTGGAACAGGCATTTCAGTATACGCTGCCACGTTCATTACAGGGAGTTCTTCCGCGCTAGAGATATTAACATCTTTGTTATTACTGCCAGTTCTCTCCTCCCCCATACCAAGTGGTTGCCTGAGCAAGAATTCCTTTTAAGGACAGACTCCCAGTAGTAGTATTCTCCTCCTCAAAGCGAAGAAGAACTCTTCGGAGGTCAGTTCCTTCTGCTTTCTCAGAATCCTGCCTCCCCCATATTCCTTAGAAAGTCATTATCAAAGATGTCAAAACCACTCAAAAAAATACCACAGAAATTCTAGAAATCAGTGTCATAATTACCTCTTCGTAATCATTAACAACTCAAAACCATATTGTTTGAGTTAAAAAGTTTTATGCAAGAAAAAACGTTTAACATTTAATATAAAATCAAGGTTTGACATATCTTATTTTTCAAACGTCATCTTTTTTCTGTTCATCAACTGACAATTAGAAGATCACAATTAAAAAAGTAATGCTAAATACTTTTAAAAGCCTTATAAAAACATTCATAAAGTGCCACCCACAAAAGCACCTAAACAAGAATCTGAGAGAAACACCTATTAGGATGTTAATTTACTTAATTGCTGCTGAGGACTAAGCTGTCAGACAGCAGCGTAATTTGTGGAACTGCCGATTTAACAACCATACAACCCAGTAAAAACACCGTTCCATAGATGTGGCCCCAACAGAGCATCAGCTGGGCCCCCAACATGTACGCAGAGGCACCCAGCACAGTGTTGTGGGGTTTTAAAATAAATAGATGCCAACACCACCTAAACCCAAGAATAGCGGCGAGTGGGAGATGTGGATTCTAAGGGGAGCAATCATCCCAGGCTGTAGCCTTACCGCGAGGGCAAAACCCAGGCAGCTTGTACAGAAAACAGGTACAGATTTTAGCTGGTCTTTACCGGGATAAAAATCACTCCCCACTAGAAATAACAGAAAAAGGCACTGATCCTTGGAACGTCTCTATGTTCTCCTCTCTGGCCTTGAACGTACCATACTGTAAGCACCTTTCTTTTCCCCATCCCCAAAAGAGGGGCTCAGAACCACTGCACCGTGGTGAACACGCACTAGTTTGTTTGGCAGCGGCCTCCCTCTTCGCTCGAGTGTCTGGGCGGTGCTCACAGACTTACCCAGCAGAAAAGGGGACAGGCTCTGAGGGCTCCCTCCCCCAAAACGCACGCCCCGTTATGAGGTGTCCAGGGAGCAGCTGTGTCTTCCCAACACCAGGTAGTCGCCTACGGTCCAGACGGCCTTCTCCTCTCCAGCTACTCCGTATGGTGCTTCTGGTGGCGCACCAGCTGGGGCTGGAACCGAAAGCTTTCCCCACACTGGGTGCAGTGGTACGGCTGCTCCCCAGTGTGGATGCGGGTGTGCTTGATCAGGTTGGAGTTGCCACTGAAGCCCCGGCCGCACTGGCTGCATTTGTAAGGCTTCTCACCAGTGTGGGTGCGAGCGTGGTTAATGAGGTCAGAGCTCTGCCCAAAACGTTTGCCACACTGCCCGCAGGCGTAAGGCCGGATGCCGTCGTGGGCTCGCTGGTGCTGAAGGAGGTGGGAGTGTTGGCTGAAGCTTTTCCCGCAAGCTGGGCACTTGTAGGGCCGCTCGCCCGTGTGCATACGCTGGTGCTTGATGCAGGTGGAGCTGTCGCTGAAGATCTTCCCGCACTCGCTGCACACGTAGGGTTTGAGCCCGGTGTGGATGCGCTGGTGCTTGAGGAGGTTGGAGCTCTGGCTGAAGCTCTTCCCGCACTCGGCACAGGTGTAGGGTTTCTGGCCCGTGTGGACCCGCCGGTGCTGGATGAGATGGGAGCTCTGGCTGAAGCCCTTGCCACACTCCCCGCACAGGAACGGGCGCTCCCCAGTGTGCATTCGCTGGTGCTGGATGAGGTGGATGCTCCGACTGAAGCCCTTGCCGCACTCGGAGCAGATGGTGGGCCGCTCTGCGCGAGGGGCTCGCCGTGAGGCTGCTGCCACCCTTCTCTCCTGTCCTTTCACCAGGCTGATAGCAGAGCAAGGCAGCTTAGCCTCCTCTTCCTCCTCACAGTCCCCTTGCTGTGCCTCTGGGGAACCGTGCTGACTTCCAAGGCTGTCCCCGAACTGTTCCTCTCCTCCTCTGGACCCTGCTGCCAACATGTCCTGCTGATCTGTGCTTGCAAGGTGATCTGGGAGGGGACCTACCTCACCACCTGGAAAACAAGTACGACTCTTAACTGTGATTCTCGCTGGGAAGTGGCACAGCAGAGAACGGGCAAGCTGTTCTCCTAGGGAGCCTGGTCTGCACCATGTAGGAGAAGCACTGAAGGGAAGACTGGGAGCAAATAGAAACTGAGCTGCAGGAGAGGCTGTATGGCGTCACCATGTGACCCAGAGCAGACGTGCCACGAACAGCAGAGCCAAGAGCAATGTTACAGGTGTCTCCTTGCCCCCAAGAAATCTTCACATTTTATCATCTTAATATTCTGTCTTATACGCAGTCTTAACAGCAGGCTGACAAAGCCAGGCTGTCTGCCTGCCCCGAGGGGGAAAGAGCAGGTCTCAGTATGAGCTGCATGGAATGAAGTGGCTTAAACAACACTGAGGCAGCTCAAAGAGCATTTCGTTTGCTCTGTGTTTATAAACTTATCTAACTGATTCCTCACCCATGTATGTCTCCTCCAAGACCTCGTGATCTTGTTCTTCTCCTTGGTCCATCTGGGCAGTTACGTCAGGTTCAGCAATCAGGAATCCTTCTTCCAAAAGCAAACAAAAGTAATCCTAGTTGAATATTCAGCGAAAGCTTGTCATATGTCTTAAAATCTGCTGTCCCTGCTGAATATGGGGAACAAGCGGAGTGGTTGCATAAAAGAATGGAATCAACTGAGCAAACATTTATGGACATCCTGAGCACTACTGAGGTATCTGGTGTCAGATACTTTCTCTTTCCTTAAAAGAGATTCAAGGTTGCCCCTCTTCTGCTAAGCGATATACTTTAGGACATACACCAGATGTGCCTGACTCAGAACTGGTTGACAGCAATCATAGATACAGGTGTAAGCAAATAACAAAACCCAGCCATATTTACATTTCTTTAATAATAATGACAGCCACAAGACTAATTACTCTCCTAAGATTATTTCAAATGGAAAATGACTCTTTGGTCACCAGAACCCGATTTTCTTATTTGCTACCTCATCTCTTCTTTCTCCTCCAAGACTCCCAGGCTGAGGCAGCAAAACCCAACAAAACAGGCAATTTAATGTCTTGTCAACTCCAGCTGGATTCTGTTAGTTCCCTGCCTGGCACCCCTACTGAGCTCCAACAACTGCCATGAATGCAGCTGTCAGGCAGGGTGCTCTTACAAACGCCATCAGCACCAAAGACAAGAATTTTTCCTTCAGTGTTTACTATGTTAAGGCCAAAAGCAGCCAAACAGTAAGCAACAGCAGTTAGCATCAAGAGGGCAGGCATTAGCAGTTGCTGCAGAAGAACAGAGAAAATACAATGGTAAGAAAAACCCCATTTTATTTTAAAAAGTAAGAATCAAAGATGGCAGGGAAAGGATACCACGTGGATGAATCTAGGACCAGAGACTGACATGCATATCAGCTAAAGCTGAGATCACTTATGGGAATATTTTTAAAGCATTTAAGACATTACTTTTTTCCCCCATTTTAATCTTTATAGTTACTTAATACTAGTTTGCATCACTTCAAAAATACACTCCCTGAACTCTACTTCAAGCTACCGATCCCTCTGGACAACCAATACCTCTGGACAACTACTCAAGCTCCAGATGGAATTCACTAACTGGACAGACGGCCTCTGGTGCAAGCAAACACTGTAAACTGATGAGTGTCTGGTCCTGCACCACTTCATCCACCACCAACAGCTATTTAACGGCAGGTAATGGGTAACAGCAGGGATTAGATAGTGTCAGAATCAAGGAGACAACTCAAGATGAAGGGAACAGTTTTAGACCTTGGTTTCCAGTGATTATAAAACTACCAGTCTTGAAGTCTTTGATCCTAGGTGGCAAAACTGGACAGAAAGAAAGGACAGAAAGAAAAGCAAAGCTGGACAGACAGAAAGCAAGCAAAAGAGAAAGACTGCAATCTTAAACTGCAGAACCATGAAGAAAAAAAAATCAGATGAGCACAAAAGAAGCCTTAGCAAAAAAAAAAAAAAAAAAAAAAAGCCTTAAAAGTTAATAATCTGAGTCCCTACTTTAAATATTTGCTGAATGCTGAAGTGGACCATCCCTACAGATGGATCATTTCTGGCAGTTCCAAGTCGATATACAAGGTGAGGTTGCTTTCTGCAGCCCTACAGCTCTCAGGACTTTGCCACTACCGAGAATTTCTGCTGCAAGATTGGCAGTACAAGCCAACCAAGCTATTTACATGCTGCAATATGTACCAGATGGGCCACCCTGACTCTAGAACAGGAGAAGTCCAAACCCTGTCTGCACATAGACCTTTCCCCCAGGCAGCTAACCACAAACAGCAGGGTTTCTCTCTGAAAGCTGTCAACAAACAGGAACTTTGGAGGAGCAAATCCCTCAGCATTTCAGAGGTGGTATCAGCATCTGACAAATGTCCAATAACAACCCGGGGAAACATCTAAGAAAGCAGACAAGGTAGAAGGAAGAGTTCCCTTCTGCAAAAATTTCCTAGCTTGGGTTGCCACTGGCACACTGCTGCTATGCTCAGATTTGCTATGGCAGCTCAGCAGAAAGCAGATAGCTTTTAATTAACAGGCTAGTCTGGAGGAAGGAAAGAGTTGCCTCCTTTCCCACGATCACAGTCATGTCTCTGTGAAAGGAGGGGACAGACCTCATCAACAGAGGGGACATTCCTTCAGGGATTTCATCTGTGACTGGCAGAAGCATATCCTTGGGCGTATTGGGTTATTGCTTGAATGTAGAAACCAAACAAGGAAAAACGTCTGTGTCTGTGGGTGTGTGGGGTTACTTTAGGCAACATCCACAGCTTTACTAAAGCAAGATATAAAGGCTGTCTAATTTAGATCTCCAGCAGGAGGGGCTTTGCAAACACACCATACTGTTCCTGGGGCCTTGGCTTTAGTATTGTGATAGCATATATAGATTTTGTAGCCGGGTCCTACAGTTTATGTTCTTTACCTTAGCTATTTGCAAACAGCTACTTATTTTCTCTTCCGACCACTCAGCTCTGTATTCCTCCTGTGGCTGTACCAAGCTGTGGAGGTTATGGGACTCATCCTAGTGCAGAGCGCCATACTTGCAGTTTCTTGTGCGGCTCAGGATCTTGCAGTCTGCTCCTGAAGTGCTGTCAGTGGCTAAGCGCTGTCTGCACGGTCATGCCAGGCACGACAGCACAAACCTGCAATTCAATAGAAGGTGTTCAAATCTTCCTCTCCCCAGTTATTATCCGGGATAGATAATGCTTGCAGTAAAGTCAAGAGGTGAAGACATTTTTCTCACAAAAAAGAGTTAATTATGCAGCTGCACAAACTTGCCCAGCACATGCTGGTCTTGTCTTGGGTGTGATGAGAACCTCCTTCCCTGTACCGTCAGATGTGTTCATAAACTACAGCGACTTGTCAGTGACTGCCTTCCCGCCCAGCTCGGGATGCCGAGGGGGACACTGTGAGACAGACACGGGAGGCGGAACGGGAGGGCATGGCCAGAGCACCCAAAGGCGAGGAGGTCTGCAGGGCGAGCAAGCACCGTGCAGCTTTTGGGAGCAAGGATTTCCCACAGAGCAGGGGCAGGGGCGCAAAGCTGCCCGTCTGCAACAGCGATCAGAAGCGCTGGGTGGGAACTGGGGAAAGACAGGCATTTGCCGTGCGGCAGGTGAGAAGGGAACGGAACGGGGAGGGGACTGCGCTACAGGTGCGGCATGCAAGCAGACCAAGGCGGCAACTCCAGCAGAGCGGGGTCTATAAAAGGGGCAGGTTGGCCCTCCCCTCCTCCGAGCTGCATCTTTTCTTCTCCTTCCTCCACGCTGCCGACAGACAAAAGGCTCGGACACGGGTTTAAAGC